AGAAAGTTCAGACAATTCAAACTCTTCTGACGATTCAACTAATCAGGATCCTTATGGGCCCCTGTTTCAAGATGCTCAGGACCCATATGCCTAATTCAGTAATTGGATTTTATATAGCTATAATTATCAGCTTCAATCAATACTCATTTTTTGAGAAAAGCTGCTTATATATATATCTATATTGATTCTCTTAGTCATCACATGCCTCCAAGCAATGAATAGTGAAAAAAGTCAACTTTACTATTCACTATTCATCATTCATCATGATTCATCCAACCAACAAATTCAGCACAGTAAAAGGCAGCCATCAACTTTAGTCACTCACCAAAAGCAGCAGACAGCTCCCATGTGCTCCTGATGCTCCTTTCAAGTCAAGATTATTCACTCACAAGGCTAATAGTATTCACTCACAAGGCTAACAGTAGTCTCTTTTGATTATAAATGGGCCTATTCAGTCAAGAATAAGGCAAAATTGAGAGTACTTATTCCTCAAGAAAAATAGCTCCGTAATTTTATTTTCAAGTTCGTTTTCAAGTTATGTATTTTGAAGAACTGTTTGTTTCATTCCAATAAACAATTGTAAGTTTTATTATTTATGTATTATACTATTAATATTGATTGTTGATTTAAATTATTTTATTTTAGTGTTGCTTCCTCCTTTCTTGCACCCGTCCCTTTTGGTATATATATATATAGATTATATATATGCAATTTGCATGTTTATATGTGTGTGTGTGTATGTGTGTTAGAGTTGGTAGCATGAAACTAAATCAAGTGTTTTGTTGAATAGAAGTGGAAATTTGTTGAATGAGTATGGAGGAAGAAAAGAGAGAGAGATAGAGAAGAAGGGTATAACACTTCTAGGCATGAAAAAGAAGAAGAAGAAGAGAAGGAAGAGAGAGAGAGAAGGGTATAACTGTCAATTTACAACTTCTGTCAACAGAAGTTAATGTGCGTTTTAGTCCACCAACCACAAAAGGGTTATGTGGTGATTTCTGAATGTCATGGGAGGAATCCACATCCAGCCCAAACTACAAGAGGGTAAAGTGAAATTTGCCCTAACAACAATAAAAGTCAGTACGTGCTCGATCTTATAATTTTTTTTATCAATAATTTACTTTTTAATTCTATTTAGATTATTAGATATTAAATATTCATTTAACAGTATAATTTAAATATAAAATATGAAGAAATTTCAGTATCTTTAATCACAAAAACTGAGAAAATATGAAAAATAAATAAAAAAATATGAATTTTTTTTTTTGGAAAAATAGATTTAAAAAATAAAACCAACAAAAGTGGTTCTTTTTTAGAATTTTGATGTCATACATTGGTTATTAAAGTATCATGTAAAATATTATAGCTGAGAAAATATAATCTAAATAAAAAGAAAGTGTATGAAGATTACCTGCGAATTTTTAAAATGCAGTACAAATCTCTATTTTAAAAACGTATGCACTTTTCTCTGTCTAGATTTGAACGGATGCATATAACTTTTAAGATTCAACCAAAATTATTCACAGTAATTTGATGCATGATGAACAATTGTAAATATTATGTATATTAGTATAAAAGTAGACACAGAAAATAAGAAAGATTAATTATTTTTTATTCTTCAATTATCATCAATGTAACAAAATAGAGAGATGTTTTTTTTTTTTTTTGATAAGAAGAGAGACGGTTTTTTGCTTATATATAGGACTATTAGAAGTAGATATATTATTTTTGAGTAGTCAACTCAAAAAATAAAGAGAAAGATAGTTTATATATGACTCTTTATGTCTTTTTGTAAATATAATAGATTTGAAATGGTAAAATTAAAATTTAAAAAAAAAAAAAAAAAACATAACAGTCACGTTACACTTTCAAAATAGGAGTAGACAGATAATTTTATGGATGGACTAGGTTGCATCAAGCGTGGACAACTCTATTTTTTCAAGCTTTAAACACATGATAATCAAGTTTTAAAAATAAAATAAAAATATATATCTAACCCGACTTTATGAGTTTAAATTATAACTCCAAGTGCTATAAAGGCCTCGTTTGGGAAGTGGCTATTTCAGTAGGCTATTTGGTTTTTTGACTATTTTAGTAGGTTATTTTAGTTTTGTGTTTGGGAAGTTGAGTTAAATTTTTAGGTTGATTGTTGTATTGAAAAAAGTGTTTGAAATGATGTTTTAAATTGAAATTACAAATTTACCCTTCACTTTATTTTTTTAAAAGATTGAGTAATAGGGGTAATAATGTAATTTAGCAAACCTGCAGCCTACACTGTTGGTGGCAGTGTAGGCTGCACTGCTGCAGCTGCCGACTGAAAATCAATTTTTTTTTTTTTTTTTTTTTTTTTTTGAAAATCAAGCAAAAGTTTGCTACAGTTAAGCTTTTGGGCTGATTTTTATTTTTGGGCTATATTAGCCGCCCAAACCACTTCCCAAACAGCCCCAAATAGTAGGGGTGAGCATGGTCCGGATTGGACCGGATTGGGATAAAACCAGGACCAATCCGTTATTTACGGTTCCTAAAAAATTGGAACCAATCCAATCCGTTTAAATCATGGAACCAATCCGAACCAATCCATTTAAATACGGATTGGATCGGTTTAGGACCACGGATTCACATAATTAAATAACAAAAATATATATATAACACTTGAATTTCATAAAAATATAAACATAGCGCTATATTAGTTCCATAATAGCAACATGTTTTTCTATAATAACGACATACTGTTCTAGAATTTAAACAACCATAAGAAAACTGGTTTCACCATATGTATTTAGACCATTGCAAATTAAAACTTAAAACTAACAAACAAAAGTAATAAAAGAAGATATTATACGATTTTAGGTTTGAGTTTAGATTTTACATAGAATAAGAAAAGATACTATGGGGGAGGATGTATAATAAAAATATAGACTATTTGTATACGGTCCGGATCGGTTCCAATCCGGAACCGTGGGATTCAATCCGGAACCAATCCGTGAACTACGGATTTTTAATTATTCAATCCGGAACCGAACCACGGATTCAAAAAACCAATCCAAACCTATCGGATTGGACTGGACTGGATCGGATTACGAATTTCACGGATTCCTTGCTCAGCCCTACCAAATAGTCCACCACTACCATACACTTCTTTTTAAAATGAAATTTTATTTTATTTATGTAATAACTAAAATTATTATTATTGTATAACAAAAATAACATCATCTTTCAAGTTCATAACCATCTATCTATTTCACCTATTGGTCCAGTAACAATGCCTTATTTGATTTTATAATTTATATTTTTATTGTTGAATGTGTATAATATAATTTTATAGATATGCTGGCAAATTGCTTATAATATAATTTATATTTTTAGTAATTTTTTACATATTTTAATCATTTTTTTTTTCTAGATGTACATAATCTAAATGTGAAAGTAAAATAGTTGTCAAGAAGTCTAAAAAAAAAATTCATTCAAAAAAATGTATATATATATATATATATATATTTTATATTTTTCTTATATCTAGTGAATTTTTAAAAGATTATAAATTTTGTATATTTTAATTGTATTTAAATTAAAATATTGTCACCAAAAAAAATACTAAAAATATATATATGAATTAAAAACTTAAAATTTGTTTTTAAAATTTTTAAAACCAAACAGTAATTAAATTTAAACATATTTTAGAATTCAAAAAAATTGAAACCCAAGTTACATCTCCACCCAACTCAACTGTACCTTAGGATGGGACAAACATTCGTTTGACTTGCCAATTGAACAAATCCGATTCAACCATGCATAAAATGGATGGCTTCCATGCAATGCCCAAAACGGTGAATTTTAATAATTTGTAAAAAACCAAGTTTTAATCGGGCGACACACATATAAGTTTCAATTAATTAAACCAAACTCGCTTGCATGAAATTAAAAAAATTTCATAAATATTGATATATACATATTATTTATTTATCTAATAAATAAAATATTAAAAGAAACTCGTCAAACCAAAAACTCGCTTGCATGGAATTCAAAAAATTTCGTAAATATTGATATATACATATTATTTATTTGTCCAATAAATAAAATATTGAAACTTAAAAAAAACGTTTTTTACTTTTTTTAAAAAATATGAATCCTTAACTATTTTAATTGTTTAGTTAAACAAATAATTTTGTATGGATAAAATTATAATTTGTTTAATTCATCGATCCAATCTGTATCTACTGGTTAATCTGTTTAATCTATTCGATGGATTTTAAAATTATGAATACGGATGGAATTTCTTAACAATAATATTAGGAATACTTAGATTGCGTTTGGTAGAGCTTTGTAACTATGATTTGAGAATATGAGTTGTATTTTCAGTTTGTGAGGTTTGAAATTATGATTTGAGCGTGAAAAATTTGTTTGATGAAAGAGTTTTGAAAATAGTTTTGAATTGAGTGGAAATTTTTGATATGGCATTTGATATTTGATACAAAAACTTAAAATTCATAACTAAATATACAACTTAAAATTATTTTAAAGCACAAAAATTTTTTTAAAAAATTCAGAAAATAATTTTTTCGAATATATAAAAATTAACATATCAATTGTAAAAAAAAAAAAAAAATTCACTGTTCCGGTCAACCGGTCGGATGACCAGTTAGGCCAAATTTCGAGAAAAAAAATTTGAAAATCGCGCTCTATTTGACTGAGTTTTCTGCAGAATTGTGAAAAATTAATTCCACAACTCTATCTAAACACCATATGCGAACTCAATATCGTTCCAAACAGAGCCTTAAATATTTACTAATAATTTTATCAACACACACAAATTTTGATAAGACCAGCTATCACTTAATGTTAAACCCACGTCCATTTATGAGTGTGTTAGTAAAATTATTAGGAAAATCAGTATCTCAGCATTTTTATCTTTTTAATCCGAAACCGATTGGATGGGGGTGACGGATGATGATGATGGGCAATCCCTAACTGGACGAGAAAACCATACCCTACTAAAATCTATATTAGCGACACAGCTGATCACTCCCAGTTCCCACACGACAACCCAACACAGAGTTATTAGGGCACAAACCCAAGGCACTACAGAGGACTCCAACGCACAACTCATCAAATCTCACAATCTCACCACCACCACCGATCTCCGCCGTGAGCTCTCTTTCAATGGCGGACTCTCCGCCCTCGCCGGCGACCACAGAACCCAATCCTCAACCTTCCGACCCACCCGAAAACCCGCCCTCCCAATCCAATCAACCCGATCCATCTCCGCCGCCACAATCCTCATCCGCTCCATCTACCTCTCTTCTAGTAAACCCTAACCCTAACCCTAACCCTACTCCACCGCCACAAATCATCTATCCCTATGCGCTGCCGCAAGTCCCCGCCGTAGCACCGACGGCTCCGTCGTTCCGGCTGGTGCCGCCACCTGTTCCGGTCTCATCCGCGCCGCCGCAGTTCTCGCCCCTTCCGGTTCCGAATTTTCATAACCCTAATTTTCAGAGCTCTGTCGGCGTTCAGCCACCGGGTGTTTCAATGATGCAAACCTATGCTCCGCCGGGTCAGCCTCCCAATCCAGCTTTCAGGCATTACGCTCCGATGCCGAATGGTTACCCAGCAATTCCCACTCCTCAAGGGACTATTCCTCCTCCGGGTGGGTTATTCTGTCTCAGTCTCTGTCTCTGTCTCTCTATTCTATTCCGATATATGTGTTTGTATGTGTATGAATGTTATCATCTTCATGATCAAGTCCCTTGCTTTCAGTTTCTTGTTGATCGAATTGCAATAGTTCGGTCTTATTCTGTGATGAAAAATTGAAACTTTTTATAGTTATTATTGTTATTTTAGCGGCAACAACCTTTTGATCGTGCCATTGCTCTGGTTCTGATGCATGAAGTTGTATGCACATCTTTAAAATTTGTAAGTACTAGAAAATTGTGAACTTTATATTTTATTTTATTTTATTTGGTAAACCCAATATTTTGTGTATTGAAGTTATTATGAAGAGTTGTTTATGGTTCATGGATAGTATTAGTATAGTTCTATGGGTCTTGCTAACAAGTGCCTCTATAGCACAAGAAGAAGAAGAAGAAGAAGAAAAAAAAGGAACACTATACCCTTTTTTATTGAATTCAAAATACTTTTCACTCAAATCAAAACACTTTTTTATATTTTCACTCTAATCCCAATAATAAACAATGCCCCAAGGGCACTCGTTAGCATTTGCCTTTATATTACATGGGTTTAATAGTATGATTTAGAGGGGAAAAGTTTGGTTGAGAGGAGTTGGAAGCAATTCGTGCTGGTTGTATAAGGGGTATCGATGACAGGATGTTTTCTCCTACAGTGTCCTGATTGATTACGGTCAGAAAGGTTCGAAGGCTTCATATTGCAGTTCCTTAGAGACTTCCACTCTACAACTCCTTTGTTGGTATGCACATATTTGCTTAGTTTCCTTGAATTTTTTTTTTCTTTTTTGAAATATGACATCATTTTAGTGAAAAATTTGTTTCTATGCTCAAAACTGGCATAGAGGAAATTGAACGATAGGGAATAGTTGAACAAATGTATTCTTCCTAGTTGTCATGCTAAATATTGTCTGGTTGGCCATGTTCATTTAGTGGGCTATTATCTGGTAGTTATAAGGATACTTTGTTTTCCCTTTAATGGGCTCTTGATATTTGAATTGCGGCAGCAGATCATGTTAGCAACTGAGTCCTCATTGCCTTTGCATTCCAAGGTATCACTATCTTTTCATTTACAGTCTCTCTTTCTTTCTTTCTCTCTCCCCCTCTATCTGGTTCTTTCTTTGTGGTTATTTGCGCATTGAGATGTTAACAGTTGAGATATTTAAAGATTCTGGAACACTAAAATATTTGTATCTTCAATTTCTTTGGCGTTAATGAGACGCATGTTATCCAATTTCAAAACTTCATAATCAGTGCATGGGTTAGTTTGAGAAGGCTACTATTTGCAAGTGGATGCATAAGGTAAGCTCACCTCACATATCCATGATTTATGAGCTCGATGTTATTGTCTTTATGTTCCTTCAGGTTATCTGTTCAGGTGGTGATTGTTCCCATGCCTGTGCTGCCATCTCTATTATGCATGTAATATGTGGTAAAAGCATTTGGTTATTCTGTGAAATTATTTTAGCTACGTAGTTTTATGGATGGGAAAGACTGTTGTTACTATAATTGGTCTGTAAACCTGTTCTGACAATTTTGCATAGATTTTTTTTCCCATTCTTGCAGGTATTCGCTATCCATTCACGCCAATGGTTCGGCAAGCATTTTCTCTACGGCCACCAGGTGCAATTGGCATGGTTCCACCATTGTCACGGCCCCCTGTTCTAGGAATTCGTGGTCCGATTGTTACCCCCTAATGCGTAGGCCAGCACTCTTTCCCAAGTGTTGACCAACAGAGAAACCGCAAACTACAGTTTATGTTGGCAAGATTGCATCAACAGTTGAAAGTGATTTCATCCTCTCTCTCCTTCAAGTAGGTTTATAAATGTGTATACCCCTTCTTTGGTTAAGTGTAGCCCTCCCCCTCCCCCAATTTACTGAACTAACAATTCCCATATCTCTTGATTTGTGAAGCTTTGTGGACCTGTCAAGAATTGGAAACGTGCTCAAGATCCGACAAACGGCACTCCAAAAGGATTTGGTTTTTGTGAATTTGAGTCCGCTGAAGGGGTTCTTCGTGCATTAAGGCTGCTGAGTAAATTAAATGTTGATGGACAAGAGTTGGTGGTAAGCGATGATTTCCTTTTTTTTCTTTTTCTTTTTCTTTTTTTGGGTTCCATACTTTATGGTATTTTCCAGGCTTTTACTACCACTACTAGCACTAATAGGAATATTAGTTTTATAATTATTGTTGTTGTTGTCATTATTATTTTATGTTTCATTTTAGGTAATTGACATCAAGTCTGCAATATACTGCATTGTCTTTTTTTATCGGCAAGTGTCGAATATGTTCCTCCCGTTTAGGTTGGTATTGGATTTTTGATCTTTGACCAAAAATATATCCCAAAATAAATTAATCCATAGATTTGCATCAATCTATGTATGAATTGTGAATTGAATCGTGAATTGTTAGATAATGTAACATATAATGTGATTAGTGATATAGTTAGAACTTAGAAGCTTGCGGAGTTCTAGGTTTGTAAGTTGGGAGCTGTGGCAGCAAAGGGTACAATGGGTGGCATTTTGGTGCTTTGGGATAATAGGGTGGCAACGGGTTGCTTTTTGGTGCTTTGGGATAGGAGGGTGGCAGAGAGAAAAGATGTCTTTAGGAAAGCATTCTGTGTCTTATTTATCTGCCTTGGTGGAGGATGGCTTCCAACAACAGACTTTCTCAATTTGTATGGACAAGTATTGCAGGCCAGCAGGAAGGACTTTTGTTGGGAGTTCGGGATTGCGAAAGAAAGGCGGGCTAAGCCATGTTGCATAGGAGATTACTTTAATGTCATTCGATTTCCAGTGGAATGGAGGGGTTGTGATCACAATTCCTCAGCCGTGAGGGAATCTTTGGATTTCATTGATGGGAACAAGCCAATGGACGTGCTTCTGGTTGGAGCTAGGTATACTTGATGCTACAACCTGGAGATCCTCAGAGCAGGAAGAGAAGTTTTCAAACGTGACCTAGGTGGTTATGCTGAGGCCAGTGTCTGGTCACTTATCCATCCTGTCTGATTGTAGAGGTATTCACTGTGGTAAAAACCCCTTTCGATTTGAGAGTGTGGTTGAAAGATGGAAAGGTTTTTGAATAGGGTGTAGTAGTGGTGGGGGAGCCACACTGTGGAAGGTGATCCTGGTGGCATTGCTTTATACAATGTGCCATCAGGTGTTTATAGTTTCTATGAAAACAATTACTCTGTAACTGTAAGTATGGATTGTATGCTGATACTCAAAAGGATAGGTCAGTGTCTGCAGACCTAGTTTAAGTGTTTGCTGCTCGAACTTGAACAGCCTTATATCTACTCTTGTATCAAAAAGAAAAGGAAGTTATTGTGTGAATCATGTATGACTTGAGGTGCTTATCCTTTTTGGATATTAATGTGCATTAATTATCATCTTTGTTGTGTGTTGAAAATTTTGCATTCTTTGTATTTGCTTTTAATTTTTGATGTTTGATCTACTCCTGAACTTATTGGGTAAATTTGATACAACTGCCTCTGCAGATAAATGTTACACAAGCAACAAGAGAGTATCTTGAGCGTTATGTTGAAAAGAAAGCTGAAAACTCAAAGAAACTCAGAGAGACTGAAACTGAAGGGGACCAGAAAGATCAAGAAGGTGCACTGAGTGCTGAGAAGAGTGAACCTCCAAAACCCTCTGTCGATGACTCAAAGAAAGATGACAAGGATTCAGGGAATGAAGAAAATAATGACACTGCTAACTTTGGCATTGTGACCGATGAAGACAGGGAAGCTGACCGAGAAGCTTTAGAGAAGCTTACTGGTATGATAGAAGAGAGGTTAAAGAACAACCCTTTACCCCCACCACCTCCACCTCCACTGACAGCTGCTGATGGTTCTGGTAAATCAAACTCAGAGCAACCAGCTAGATCAAAGGATGGGGACTCGGATGTGGATATAATGAGAAATGGTGAGTCTTTTGTATCAGATATTGGGAGTTTTATTGCTATAGTTTGTTTATACATTATACTCTCTTTAAAGTAGATCCTCCATGTGACGTGTACCCTAATTTTTCTTTTGCAGATGCTGCAGAAGATAAAATTGATGATGAGATGACAAGTGAAAGTAAACCTACAAGTGAGCATGACAGACCTGAAACAAGCTCACCTGATAGGAGTAGAAGGTATGATAGGAGGAGCAGAGATAAGGAGCGAGATCTGAAACGGGAAAAAGAAAGAGAACTGGAAAGATATGAAAGAGATAGGGAGCAGGAACGAGCTAGGAGAGAGAGGGAAAGAGTACAAGCTTAAGGAAGATGATCGTAGGTACAAGGCGCGTGTTAAGGAGTGGGAAATACGGGAGAGAGATAAAGAGTATATGAGGAAGCTGGAGAAGGAGAAGGAGAAAGAAAGGGAGTACAAACGGAAGCGGGAAATTATGGACCAGGAGCATGACAACGATGATGGTGATTCCAAAAGGAGGAAACACAAGAGCAGCGGGTCAGAGGAGAGAAAAAGAAAGCTAAGGGAAAAGGAAGAAGACATGGCCGATAGACAAAGAGAAGAGGAAGAAGATGCTGAGGCCAAGAGGAGGGCTGATGAGGAACTGCAGCAGCAGAAACAACAACAGAAAGCTGCGCTGGAAATTTTGCCTGGCTACATAACTAATGGAAGTGATAAAGCCATATTGCCTGATGAAACTAATGTCGGGAGCAAAGACATGGATGTTGATGAAACTTATGATGGGGATTCTGATCATGGAAACCACGATGGCAAGTTTTTTTTTTAAACTTAAATTTCTTCTTCTATTTTTTTGTCTGTAGTCACTTTCCTTCATTTATTAATTTGATCATCGGTTTTTTTTTTTTTTTGGTAAACAGGTTTGGACATCCATTTGCCAGGGGGTGGGAGTGTACCTAATGGCAATGGGGATGAATTAGTCATGGGATCAATTGCTGCATCAGATAGGCATAATAGCAATGTTCCTGCTAAAAAGTTGGGGTTTGGTCTTATGGGATCAGGAAAACGGACTGCTGTCCCCTCTGTTTTCAATGAGGAGGAAGATGAGGATGCACAGAAAGATAAAAAGATGAGGCCTCTGGTTCCCATTGATTACTCAACTGAGGAACTGCACGTTGCCCCTACCACTTCTGGCGCACCATCTCCAAACTTGGCTGCGGCAGCAGAATTTGCAAAACGTATCTCTGGTGTTGCTCCGAAAGAAGAGAGGCCTGATGCAGAAAAAGAAAGAACAAGACGTTCTCATGATAGTAGGTCTAGCCAGCGGGATCGAGACCGGAATGAGTTTGAGACACATCGCACCAGGGATGAACGTAAAAAAGAGAATTTTGAACGCGACCGAGATCGGGAACAAGGACTGGATAAAGTGAAGACACCTGATAATAAAAAGCTATTGGATGCGAAGCAATTAATTGATATGATACCGAAGACCAAGGATGAGTTATTCTCATATGAAATTAACTGGGCCGTTTATGATAAGGTGAGTAACTTGTACCATAAATTTTTGATTTCATAGTTTTTGCTTGAAATTTCAAGGACATGTTTCCGAATAGCAGAATCCCAGCATGACCTAATCTTTAGGCTATGTTTGGATTTTGGAAAAGAAAAAGGGTTTTATAGGAAGAGAAAATAAAGTGAAGGAAGCTAATTTTAGTTGTATTTTAGGTTGGGTTAGGAAAATGAGAAGAAGATGAATAGGCATTTGTTATTGTTATTGTTTTTGTTTCATTAATGAAGTAATTTAATTGCCATTTCATTTTCCTTTCCCTTGAAAAATCCAAACATAGCATTAGGGTTTAGTCAGACATATCTTTCCTTTTGTTTTTTTTTTTTCAAAGCTGGGAAAGGCATATATTCTACTGAATTGAATGTAGATTCCTTGGAGGTAACCACGAGAATATGAAATAGATAAATAAGATTCTTTGGAGGCAGCTTTGAGAGTGTAGTCGTTGGACCTAGCTTCTAAGCAGGTGACATATCTGGACTCTTCAAATGCCTTTGTTGGACACTTTGATTAGAGTGTGAGATATGTGTTCAATACTCTATATTGTACATTTCTGTGATTGTATTCAACAATGGCGTTAGTTATATACATATTTTGTTGCATTGTTGCTGTAAATGAGTATAATGTCTTTTGACACTCTCTGTTACATAGAAAACTATTTAATCCAACAACATAGATTACAAACATGAAAATATGACCCTCTTTTGCTGATTCCCATAACCTTTAACTTAGAGGATTAATGGGTCTGACCTCTAGATACACAACCCTTCAAGTCCATGTAACATAGGCAGAAACATGTTTCTGGTAAATGTACCATGGGTGCACATAAATCTCTCTTGGTAAATGCAAACTGAATTGAAAATTATTTTTAGATTTCTGTATTTGATTTTTTGTCAAATTTAGTCCCTCTGTTCTCAAAAATTGCCTCCCTTGGGTTTTGCCAAACGAGTAAATAATTGGATGAAGGGTTTTTTGCCAAATTTAGTCCCTCTGTTCTCAAAAATTGCCTCCCTTGGGTTTTGCCAAACGAGTAAATAATTGGATGAAGGGTTCAAGTATCTATAGTTTATGTTTAATTGTTGTATTGTTTTATAATGGTGATGTGTTCAAAGGTATATCTCATTGTTTTTTACGAACTCTCAGAATGAGCTGCACGATAGAATGAGACCATGGATCTCTAAGAAGATAACAGAGTTCCTGGGCGAGGAAGAGACCTCACTGGTGGACTACATTGTGTCCAGCACGTGTGAACACGTGAAGGCATCTGAAATGCTGGAGAGGCTCCAGTCTATCTTGGATGATGAAGCGGAAATGTTTGTGCTGAAGATGTGGAGAATGCTCATCTTTGAAATTAAGAAAATAGAGACTGGTCTTGCTTTGAGGTCTAAAACCTGATGAATTTCATCCAGATGTTGAGGGCTTCCCTGTAGCTGCAGAATTGATTTTCATTTACTTTTTCTTTGACATTATTTCTGTCTCAACTCTCCCTTGTACTCTAAAAGAACGAAGGCACGCGGCACTTCTCTTGAGGCATGATTTATTCTTCAGTTTGTAATGATTTAGGCAAGTTGGTGCAGTTAAATCCAATTTTTTTTTTTGTTGCACTTCGCATCTGCATAATATCAATGTTGTGGAAAACCAGTATTTTGATATCTGGATTAGATTGTATTAGTAAACCTTTTGAAGTGCTCAATCAATATATATAAAAGGGTGCTTTTAAAGAATGGTTGCTTTGTTTGTTTGTTTGTTTGGATTCTGCCATGCATTTGAGGGCTATATATATCTCCAGTCAAAGGAGGTTTTTGTAGAACACTTGAAATTTGGTTTTAGAAGTGACCATCCTGTTAGTGTTTTGATGGTTCACTCATATTTGAGCTGCAGTTTCAGTTGTGGATCTTGCAGAAATGGAAATTTACAAAAGTATTTTTTGGTGCCAAAATGTTATTTCTTTATTTTCCATTTGAATCTGGTGAATATTTCAACATATGACCATCTCAAAACATGTATTTAAAAACAGAAAAATAGAGCGATTAAGGAAAGGATCCCAGGCCTAATCCTTGTTGTACAGAAGGGCTGGATTTAAACTAAGCCTTCACATTTCTAACAAAAACCTGGACAACATTCTTAAACATATACATATACACAACAGACCTACACCTGCGCAGATTCCTTTTTTTTACTCTTTTTTTCCCAGAGTGATACTTTCATATACAAAATGTAAATTTTACTCTTCGGAAGACGGCACCAGCAGCTCCCATTCTGAGAAACCAGTTCAGCACAAGTTGATTCTGAATCACCATCCGACATCTATCAGTGAATCAGCCTTGCTTTCTATATACAGACAAGAAGGGGGCATGGCAGCAGCAAATGCCCTCATGCCTTCCAACATTAGGGTTACAAAAGAACTCCACATTAAGAAGAGGTCAAGACTGCTTCAGATTCAACTAGGTCCAAAAAAAAATTTACAATGGTAACAAGTGTCTGCTCGATTTCACCCTCCAGAGTCTTTCCTTCTTGTGCTTTGTCTAGTTTTTGGTTTCGCATTGTCATTTTGATTTGATTTGATATCTTCTATAGAATCCGAAGTTGGTGAAGGCTTTTCAAACATGATGGCAGAATCCAAGGTGTATATGCGGAGAGATAGAGCCGAAAGAGTAGAAATACTGGCTGCAGCAGAAAGAGAAGACCAATACCACCAACTGTTTTTCAAGTATTTGGATTTTATCATGTTCTCGAGTGTGATTGTTGCTTGGACCATCTGAAAATACAGTTAAAAAGTTCAGTTTATAAAACCAAATGCATGGAGTTTAAACAGTACGAACCAACAATGAACATGATACATGAAAAGAAAGTCCCATTCCTACAGGGATTCTAGAGCCTACAAGCCTAACTATGACACTCCATTTATTTCGGCCAAAAACAATTTTTTGGAAAACGGTTTCTGTATTTATTAGTATTCATTTGGTATGACAGAAAACAAATATAAAACGGAAAACCAGTTATTGAGGTTGAAAATGTTTTCTGGACAGTCTTACTAATGCCACTGCACCAACACCTCCACCACCAAGCCCACTACCACTAATACAACCATAGCACATTAGTTTCAAGGTCGCAACCAAAAAAAAAAAAACATTTTCTAGGAAAAAAATTTGGTAGAAAATGTTTTCCGCTAAAACAAACAGAGTGTGAAAGGAGAACAGCAATATCACAATGAAAATAGAGGATCACTGAAAATGAAAACCCCAAGAACCTGATTAGAGAGTCCGACTTAAAACGCATCATGAAAGACAATTTGGATAGGAAGTTGTTTTATAAAAATCAACTTTCTAAAACACTCAAGTGGAGACTAAAGTTGACACTAAAAATTCAAATTAGGTTAATGCAATAATAAAAATGGAGATATAAAACTAACCTCATAGATTGAACCTGCAGATTTTACAAATGCACGCCAGGCAGATCTTTTTTCCAAATGGGACATAGAAGGTCTCAGAGCTTCCTCAGGAAGCGCCGCATCCATGTCAAGCAAGTTGATCTTGAGTTGCCGTAGAAGTTGAGAAACCCTACCCACTAATCGTCTCGATGACGATTCACGAAACACGCAGTGCTTACCAACCCCAAGCTTTGGACATCTGTTCTTTCTAGCAGACAATTGAACCCTTTCATTCGTAAAATTAGAGTCTAATCTCTCAATTTTCGATGCCTCATCAATGTCGTTTTCAGCATTTCTTGGCAAATTGTTGGAACTGCTATTACCGTTCATACCCACAAATTCCTTTCCATTATTGATCTCATTCTTTCCGGTAAGGACTAACCTTAAGGCAGGGTCACTGAGATAAGGAGATAAACTCGGCAAAAATGATGGAATCCCATTAGATCTAATAAGTCCCACGTCATCTACCAATTCCTTAAGAGAGTTCCTGGTGACAAACTTTGACTTGATCTCCTCAGAGTCAAACGGACAATCCGGCTCTTGAAATTTTACTGCATTATAGCCAATCTCATTCTTTCCGCTTCTTGATTTTCTAAAAAATCCTTTGTCAGTACAGCGCTGCTCAGCTAGGGTTTTAGTTGTCATCCTCTTCCCCTTCTTTAAATCTTCACGTTCTTTGTTATTCTCGGGGACAGGTGAACCTGCACTGCAGTTTCCATCATTATGACTCTCTAGTTCCGTGCTCATGGAAAATGTCTGGTGGCACGATCGGCAATGAGGTCTAACAGGCAATATAGGTTCTAGGCATTCACATCTGTACATTCTACCCTCAAAAGATACCTTATCTTTCGGACCCGTCTTCTTTGAGACATCGGTAACCTCTGGTTTCAAGCAAGAACCAAACTTCTTTTCCAAAACAGTCATAGCCTCGGTCACCGGAAAATTGGATTCAAAAGCTTTTCCACCATTGGAGAGGTCATTTTGAATTTGATTTTCAGCATTATTGGAGTCTTTGCATTTATTTCTTCGCCAACGCATGATAGACTCTTTCAGTTCTCTATCCCTTGCATCACCATCTCTCAGCCAACCAACGAGTTCTTCAATTTCAGTATCAGATTGGTAAGAAACCAATGAGTTCCTCAAATTTGAATTTTTTTCAGTAGGATCTCCAAGCTCTTTCATTTCACTCTTTTTTACCTCCATACAACCATTAAAAACCACCAGTGAGGAAGTATCGGGCCTGCCAAAAACCCAGTACACTCGGCCACCAGAGTCCTTTCCCAAAAATTCTTTTCGAACAGATACCTTCAGAAGTTCAGATTCTACATGAGCAATTGAATCCTGGATAACAGAAATCTCATTCTCAAGGGAGCTCATCTCAAGGTTTCTGGAAAAATGATTCTCAGGTACTAGACTCTGCTCCTCAACAGGCTGTTGATTTCGTAGTTGACCAACTATATCAGACTCCTTAAAATTTTGATTTCTATCAATGATACAAGGCAACCCATCTGAAGCCAATTCTCCAACTCTATTATGCACATTGTTTGCTTTTGGCAGATTTTCTTCCTTGCATGATAGGTTCTTCAATTCAGAAGATAGGAACCTCAGCTTCTGCTGCAAATCAGTAGATATAGAGGCACAATGATCTAGGTGGTCACGAAGAATGCCCGAGTTCAGTGTCTCGTCACACAAAAATTTTAGAAGTAAAATTCTCTGCATCAAGGGAAAATAAGACTTAGTCATAACATTAGTAGGGGAAATAGAAAAAAGGAATGACATCGTCATATAACTAATAGAGACTACAATGACCATCTATTTCTACCATCTTATCTTACCATCTGATGTGACAATCTAGTTGTCAGCACTGCATTGGAGATATACATTAGTTGTGGGATCCATTACACCAATATTGTGTTGACAAGATGGTAAGCATAATATGCTATAGAAATGTGGTTAGTATAGCATTATTGATATGTTATCTGTGATCCGATATGATAACCGTCACGAAATACAGAAACGGATCATAGTGCCATATATACAAGGAAAAGCATGCTGCAAATGGTATGGGGTGGTATTCTATAGGTATTGGACAACTATTCTTATAAGAGAAGTATGAGAATCTATACTCTACTCAAAACCACAGTAGTAGCAAATCTGGTAAAGCAGCACAGATGCAAACAGATCAGCCCAAAAAAGTAGTATATGGAATTTCAATGTTCACACAAAGGTGTATACAGACTAACCTCTTCTACATTGAGCTCCCAGTACTCTTTCGACTCCATAGTGAGTGCTAATTGGCTCAGTGTCTCCATAAAATTTTGTGTGAATTCTCCGCGGCGTCTCTTTCTCCGGCATTGACTGACCAGAGTACCATGTGATGTGCCTTGAGACTTGAATTGACCAGCAATACAAGAAGGGCAATACCAATTTCCTTCCGGAATTCTAGCAAGTGGAGGGTTTAAGCAATATGTATGATACTCAGAATCACAAGTATCGCACAAAAGAACATTGTCATCATCTTTGTCTAATCCACACACTTTGCATACATCCTCATCCCAGGGAGCTTTGGAAAGTGAGCTCTCATTTGCATGTAAAAGCATATCATCAGACTCTTTTTTTGCTTCATCCCTTATGTTTAAAGAATTGGTATTCTCAGCAAACTTCTGGACCAGTGTCAGGACCTGAAGCAAGAAATAACTTCGTTAAATTTTGGTCAAACAAACACTCAGAAAATATCAGGAAGGAATATATTTTTAATCACTTAAAGAATGAGAACATGATTCTCTCTTATAAAGAGAGCAATTACAACAGAAAAGGAAACTAATTAAAGCTAATATTTGACAGCTTCTACCTACCTATTTTTCCTGATTCTATACAGCCTTTACTTTCCATATTTACATAGGAAAAAGCAGATCCTAGAATATTGACTAAATCAAGGCAATAATAACCAAATTTCCAGCACTCCCCCTCAAGCTGGTTTGAAGATATCTTCCATAGCCAGCTTGCTAGTTAGCTTATCAAATTGCTTCTTGTGTAGTCCCTTCGTTAGCACATCAGTTAATTGTTCATCTGTTGGAAGGTAGGTCATACATATTATGCCAGCATTGATTTTCTCCTTGATGAAATGTTTATCCACTTCTATATGTTTTGTGCGATCATGTAGAACTGGATTATGAGCTATGGATATAGCTGCTGTTAAAACCTATCACCTACTTCACCCACTAAACCTAACCCACTACACCACTACCACCTCACCTACTCCACTAAACCCACTACACCACTACCACCTCCACTTCACCTACTCCACCTACCACCTCCACTTTACCTACTCCATCTACCACCTACTACCACCTACTCTTCTATATATAGGAATCATTGTAACATTCAATAAATCAACAATTATCAATACATCAATCAATAATACATCAATTTTAACAGTTGCTTTGTTGTCACAATAGACCTTCATAGGAGTCGGGTGAGAAAGCTTTAATTCTTCAAAAATTCTTTTAATCCACATTACTTCACTGATTCCATGGGCAACAGCTTTGAACTCTACTTCTGCACTACTTCTAGCTACCACATTCTGTTTTTTACTCCGCCATGTAACTAGGTTCCCACCTACAAAGGAGCAATATCCGGATGTTGATCTCCTGTCTGCAACACTTCCTGCCCAGTCTGCATCTGTGTATACTTCAACTTGAAGATGTCCATGTTTCTTGAACAGTAAGCATCTCCCTGGAGTTCCTTTCAGATATCTTAAGATCTTATAAATAGCCTCAAAGTGCTCTGCCCCTGGTGAGTGCATGAACTGACTTACCATGCTGACTGCAAAGGCAATATCAGGCCGCGTATGAGACAAGTAAATCAATTTTCCTACAAGTCGCTGATATTGTTCCCTCTCTTTGACTTCTTCAGCCTTAGCAGCTTGTAACTTCAAGTTAGGCTCGATCGGAGTCTCCACCATCTTACAACCAAGCATACCTGTTTCTCCAAGGAGATCAAGAACATATTTTCTCTAATTAACGAATATACCTTCTTTGGATCTTGCAAATTCCATTCCGAGGAAATACTTGAGGGCTCCCAGATCCTTAATTTGAATTTCTTTTGCGAGTTTCTCTTTGAGGGCTGCTAACTCTGCTTCATCATCACCAGTTAAAATGATGTCATCAACATAAACAATCAAAATTGCAATTTTAATGTCTTTTGAATGTTTATAAAATATTGTGTGATCTGCTTGACTCTGCGAGAAGCCACAACTGATAACTGCCTTTGCAAAGCGTTCAAACCACGCTCTTGGTGATTGTTTGAGTCCGTATAATGACTTGTTCAATCTGCATACTTTGTCGCTACCAAGTCTCTGCTCAAATCCCAGCGGTAGGCTCATGAACACCTCCTCTTCAAGATCACCATTGAGAAATACATTTTTAATGTCAAGTTGATGTAGAGGCCAATCTGAATTTACTGCAAGAGATAACAGTACTCTGATGGAATTTATTTTAGCAACAGGAGCAAACGTCTCCTGATAGTCGATCCCATAAGTTTGAGTGAAGCCTTTAGCCACCAGTATCGCCTTGTATCTCTCAACGCTTCCATCTGCGTTACATTTTATCGTAAACACCCATTTACACCCAACTGTTTTCTTGTCTTTGGGTAGATCAACTATCTCCCAAGTACCACTTCTCCTTAAAGCATTCATCTCCTCCATAACTGCTAATTTCCAATTCGGATCATCCAATGCTTCCTGTATATTCCTTGGAACAAACAAGTGTGAAATCCTAGATGTGAAAGCTCTATGGTTTTTAGACAGTCTTTGATAGGAGAGGTAATTTGCAATAGGATGTTTAATGCAATTTCGAACACCTTTCCTAATTGCTATAGGAACATCAAGGTCGGAAATAGAAGGAATAGGACTACCTAAAATTTCGATGCCAGAACTCGGGTGGATATTCGGGTCATTAGGATGGACATTCGGGTCATTATTCCTCAGATGAAATCGCTTCCTAGTATAAACTTGAAGCTCAGAATTTAGATCATTTTGTAGTACTTCTCCCCCTAAACAAGAATCTTTTTGACTAGACACCAAAGAACTTGGTTCTCCTAAGTGATCATTATCAGACAGATGTGGTTTTTGTGTAGGATAAATGACATTGGCGAGTGGAACAGAAATATCCCAAAAATTGTCTTCTACTCCACTTGTCTCCCCCTGAAGAGAATTGTTGGGGAAGTAGGATTTTGTTTCCACAAATGACACATCCATACTCACATGAAATTTCTTGGTTTGAGGATCGAAACACTTATACCCCTTTTGGTTTGAAGAATAACCCAAAAAAACACATTTATAGCACGGGGGTCAAGTTTTGAACGAAACTGACTAGGAACATGAACATAGGCAATACATCCAAAAACTTTGGCAGGTAAATCATACCGCCACCCGTTACGGCCGCTTTTGCAGTGTGATTGAGATTCACAGGTGTGTCGGCCGTAGCGGCTGCCGTAGCGGTCGTAACAGTGCCGTAACAGGCGTAACGGCCTGTTACACACCGTTACATAACAGTTTCAAACTGTTTCTTTCGAAAAAACACAAAAAAAAAAAACTGAAAATGGGAGAAGAGGGATAGAGAGAAGAGGGAAGATAAAGAGAGAAAATGGAGGAGCAAGAGAGAGAGAGAGAAGAGGGAAGATGAAGAACATGTTATTGATTTGTTAAAACTGTAAGACCTATGCTATTCTATTCAGCTGCTATCACTAAATCATTTTATTTGTGTGTGTCTATCTATATATTGTTTGAAAATAATAATAACAATAAGTGTGGTCATTATCTATTTGGCTTGGCCTCAGATGAAATCGCTTCCTAGTATAAACTTGAAGCTCAGAATTTAGATCATTTTGTAGTACTTCTCCCCCTAAACAAGAATCTTTTTTACTAGACACCAAAGAACTTGGTTCTCCTAAGTGATCATTATGAGACAGATGTGGTTTTTGTGTAGGATAAATGACATTGGCGAGTGGAATAGAAATATCCCAAAAATTGTCTTCTACTCCACTTGTCTCCCCCTGAAGAGAATTGTTGGGGAAGTAGGATTTTGTTTCCACAAATGACACATCCACCGTTACACTACGGCCTTTACACCCCGCAACCGCAACCGCGTCACCGCCACCGTTACGGCGACCGCAACCGCTTTTCAGAACCTTGAGCACGGGGGTCAAGTTTTGAACGAAATTGACTGGGAACATGAGCATAGGCAGTACATCCAAAAACTTTGGCGGGTAAATCAGAAAACAACCTCGTGTCAAGGAAAAAAGTTTTGAGACAATCAAAAGGTGTTTTGTATGTTAACACCTTTGTAAGCATCCTGTTTATCAAATAAGAGGCTGTTAAAATTGTTTCACCCCATAAATATTTAGGAACATGCATGTAAAACATTATAGCACGTGCTACTTCAAGTAGATGTTTATTTTTTCGTTCTGCAATGCCATTTTGTTGAGGGGTATCCCGACATGTAGATTGATGAAAAATCCCATTTTTTCCCAAAAACTCACCCAACTGCTCATTGAAATATTCTGTTCCATTATCAGAATGTAAAATACCAATTTTGGTTTGAAATTGGTTTTCAATCATATTGTAAAAATTTGTAAATAAAGTTTTCACGTCAGATTTTTTATTCATCAAATAAATCCAACATAAGCGGGTATGGTCATCAATAAATGTAACAAACCATCTTTTACCAGAAAGAGTTGTGATTTTAGAAGGGCCCCAAAAATCACTATGAATCAAATAAAAAGGTTTGGAAGCCTAGTAATGTTTTGGCAAATAAGTAGAGCGATGAAATTTTGCAAAAATGCAACTTTCACAATGAAAAGAAGAACAATCAATCCCTTTAAATAGTTCTGGAAATAAATGTTTCAGATAAAGAAAACTAGGATGTCCTAGCCTATAGTGCCATAGCATTATTTTTTCTCGAACAGAGATTGAATTAGTACTATTACAGCTCTGAGCTTTTTTATTACTAAAAAGTACTTCATCAAAGTAGTAAAGACCTTCAAACATCCTAGCACACCCAATCATCAGTCCCGAGTTCTGGTCCTGAAATTCACAATGGGATTCAAAAAATGTAACACGACAATTAGAATCCTTAGATAGTTTACTGATAGACAAAAGGTTACAGCAAGGTTCTGAAAAGCGGTTGCGGTCGCCGTAACGGTGGCGGTGACGCGGTTGCGGTTGCGGGGTGTAAAGGCCGTAGTGTAACGGTTGCGGTAACCGGAACCGTGAATTGTTTTATTTTTTGCACAATTTGAAAAAAACTTACCGATATGCATATTTTTTTTCCATGATCATATTTATTGGATTAAAAATAAATATTGATCAATTTTTGTAAATTTTAAGTATGATGCAATATATTTCATATATTTAACACTAGGAGTACCGGATGAGGAGTTGGATTTTATCAGCTTTAAGAGTTGATCAATCTGCTCTTTGTTGAAGGAACCTGAATCGGCTACATTAGCAGTAGGAAAGCCACGATTCTTCTCTCCTCGTTTGCTACTTTTCCAGTTGACAGGTTTGCCATGGATCTTCCAACACGTTTCGCGTGTATGGCGAGGCTTGTTGCAAAAATCACACCAGACCCGTGGCTTATCATCAAACCTGCGCTGGTAATTTGCAGCCTTGTTGGCCGCAGCATCGCTAATTGAAGCAGAAATTTCAATTGACTCACTAGAAACTGTTTTTCTTAAGCATGACGCTCCTTCGGCTCTCTTCCCTTCTGACTTTGGCAAATACTTCGCCAATGGATGGGAGAGGAGGTCTGCCAATAATTCTTCCTCGCACTTCATCGAACTCAATGTTGTGGCCGGCAAGAAACTTGTAAATACGGCTGTCTTCCACAGTTTTCTTGTGGTGGTTGCAGTCGTCAACCGATTTCCATTCGTATGTGTTGAAGATGTCAAGATCCTGCCACAACCTTTTCAACGAATTGAAATATTTTGTGACGGAATCATCTCCTTGACGAATCTCTCCCAACTTCAAAGTCAATTCGAAAACTTGAGATTGATTTCCTAGGTCAGAATACATCCGACTAACATTATCCCACAACTCTTGTGCAGTAGTATAGCACATGTAATTAGAGCTTATATCCTCCTCCATGAAATTGACCAACCATGTCATAACCATGGAGGTTTCAGCGTCCCAACTGTCGAACAGCGGATCATTAACAGCAGGAGCCTTCTTGTCACCAGTGATGTAACCGATCTTTCCTTGCCCACGGATATACATCCAGACAGATTGTGACCAGCGGAGAAAATTATCACCATTTAGGCGGATGGTGGTGATTTGGACAGAGTGAGAGTTGGATGTTTTCACCGGAATGGCAGCGGCAGGGGTTGAAGTGGTTTCGGATGTGACTTCCGACATGGCTACGATGGTTTTAGGGCTGCTGTGTTTTTTGCTCTGATACCAACTCAGAAAATATGAGGAAGGAATATATTTTTAATCACTTAAAGAATGAGAATATGATTCTCTCTTATAAAGAGAGCAATTACAACAGAAAAGGAAACTAATTAAAGCTAATATTTGACAGCTTCTACTTTCCTATTTTTCCTGATTCTATACAGCCTTTACTTTCCATATTTACATAGGAAAAAACAGATCCTAGAATATTGACTAAATCAAGGCAATAATAACCAAATTTCCAGCACAAACATAATAACTGCACACATTTAAAAAAACAAATACAAAAACAAAACCATATGACTGAAATATTAGTCTTGGCCAACCCAAGAAAATTATTTTCAGAATTCGAGGAACCCATTGAAGTGCTGGAATGCATCCAAAATTGATGTAATCAGATGGATTAAGAGGCCCACATGCTTAACGTGGACTAATAAGCAAGACTATTACTAGAGACAACCAAATTTCATCAAGATTCTCTTCTCTCTCTCTCTCTCTTTTTGGTTGAAAAATGTCCAGGTCTGCGAATATATAAAACATCTCTCTCTAAGTTTCGTCTTGATACAAAACTACCAGACCTAACAACATAAATCATTGAGAGGGGTGACATTGACCTTTTGAAGATATAACAAATAATTCATCCCCACTTATAAATAATTTCAGATTGAAGACAGATAAGATCTCATTCAAAATGATTTACTGTTATAGATTGAACAAGCATTTAATAGACATATCACTTCAGCTAGTATTATGCCATTTTGAGGCAACTGTTGTAATAATGGTTTGAAAAGCTATACAACATTCCTCAGTTAGCATCCATTTTAACAAAGAAGTATATCCATTTTGAGATATTGGAAGCTGTACAAAAAGTAGACAAATCAATTGATTGTAACAAAGGGACGGCTAATATGGATGAAGACTTTGCAGAGAAGTAAAAGCAAAAGGAGAGGTACCAACCAACCTCTTTTTCATATATAACTTCGAACTTTTGGGATAAAGTTTCGACCAAATCAGATTGATCTGCATATGCAGTGCGAATGTTATTCCAAACCTACCAAAAGAACATTAATGTTAGCCATCGTGACCATCCAATTCATGCACCATAATACATAAACATAATTAGACATTTGAACATCAAACTTCTGCAATACTATAATAATGTTTCCTGTGCATGATGGAAATTCACGAAAGCATAATGCAACTCAAACAGTATATCCTAATTAAACTTATTACCAGTGACATGTAGGGGACATAGCACTTTAATTTAATTAAGAAAAAAATACCTCCCGAACATCTTCAAGGAAAGCTTCGTGGGATCCACCATAGGCCTTGTAAGCCAATCTCATATCAATAGTCCTGAAGTCTAAAGGACGAGATACCATTGCAGGATATCCTAGGAGTCCCTCATCATCATTATCATTAGGATTAATAAGTGTTTTTCCTAACAGATTGCAGAAGACTTTTTCTTCATCTTCAGCAGCAGCACGCCGTAATACAATGCGGCACTGTTTCATTATTAACTCAGATACAGTGCTCGTACTTTTCACTTTCTCTTTTTTATCAGGTTTGGGCTGCAGATTTTCAAGGCTCATATCCGCCAGCAATGAGACAATGGCTCTCTGCAATCAATCAATGGCAAATGAATAAAAGTCCAACATCAAAATTAATACAAGGACTCTTATTACTTTTTTTTTATATTTTATTTTGAACATCCAAGGACTATTTTACATGAGGAAAAGCAAATCTACACTAAATTTACTTAATTGCAACCACTAGTATCCAAATTCAGCAAATAGCTGTGAAAATTGGGGGAAATTCACATTGTCAGACAGCCTAGATTAAACATACTAAGCCACAAATTCAGAATAATTTTTTAAAAAAAAAATCTGGAATGTGAACCCAAAAATAGGATTTAATTACATGTTCCACAATTTGGCTAAATTGTGGGCAAAAGAATTAATCATTCCAAATTTGGATCGAGTATTGAAACATTTAGTTTCAGAGTGTCAAACTTGGAAGAACTTGTAAATTTAGAAATTTAGTGAATTCATGGCATTGACTTTTTTAGAATCTAAAAAAGCTGCTGTGTTTGGGAATTGCTAAAAAAGTTGCATTTTTTGTTAGTGGGAAAGCTGTTGGATTTTTTAGCTCTTCACAAACAGGCTTTTGATTTTTGCTTATTTCTCCAAAAAAGCGGCTTTTTTTAGCTGATCCCAAACAAGTATGAAATTATGGTTTCAGATGGAACTGCTGTAGTAGTTAAGAATATCTCAGCCTATCATGGGGTTTCTTTCCAAAATAAAGTCAAATCTTACTGAAGGATTAACCATCCTGTGGCTGAATATACAAAGAAATAAAAGAACTCAAGAGGAAAACTTGAATTTTTGAGTTGTTTAATCTCGGACAAGATCCATGATACAGGCAGTATCACTTCAATAAATATGCTTTGCAAATGAATCTTGCTCGTCCACCTTAATTAAATAGATAACATTTGAAATAACATTTAAAAGAAAAAAACAAAGAAAAAGCACCTTCGTGGGTCCTGATGCATTCCCTTTGTAAACTTCCTTGCTAATTGAATGTTCCAGTATCTTCTTTGCCCATTCTGGAGGATTTTTCTCTAAAGCATCACGCACACACTTCCTAATTCTGGCTCCAACATTTGTGGGTAGCTTTCTTATAGGTTCTAGTGCCTGCACCCACTCAGGGACTTCACTGCTATTCACCTCAATAACTTTGGAAGCACTTGATGCATCAACCGCTCCTTGATCTGCGCTAATGTGATTTTTCTTCATGAAACCAAAGACTTTCTTTTTAGCCTCTGCAAGAAGCTGAGAATCACATAAATTAGTGCAACTTTATCCAAGAAGGATTCACGCTACATTTGACACAAAAAGTAGAAAATATAGAGTTTTACTGAATTACCAACCAGCAACATGGAAAAGACATAAGTTCAACAAGAGCAAATGGAAACTAAGTATGAGGTTGATGGAAAACAAAATTTATAAGACAGATTAAAGAGAGTATTGTGGTCTGGTTTGAATTCTGAGACATATATAATGGCTTTTCCCCAATAAAGAACCATAAATGACCACATGAAACATAAACTAGGAAGATAATAAATAACATTATGTGGCCCTTCAGCTCGTAAGTATTTGATCTTCCCAAAAATTCTAGAAGCTTTCAAAATGCAGTGGCAACAAGTAACAAAGAAGCAAACATTAGAGCCAGCATTTCTTCATAAACAAACCGAAGGTTGTAAGGGTATATCTGCATTCTGAGAACATATTTCTAATCAACCTTTTACCCAAATATTACCTAAGCATCACATAAAAAATTACTTTGTGCCAGAAAACAATATCATGCTTTTTCACAATGCATAGTCGACGACCAATGTCAGCAAACTGGTACTGGAGACTTTCCTCTTTTAAACATGATCCACTAAAGATTCAAAAAGTAACTAACACTATTGAAAAGGAGAATAATGAAAGGAGACTCAATCTTACTTGTGCATCTATCTCCATTCCAGCTACTCCTGTAAGGGCACCACAAAGAGTTCCACCGTCACCCTGTAAGCAATGAAAGATCTTACTGCTCTCCCGGCCATTACTCTCTGTAGATTCAAGGTCACCCTCCATGATGGACAGGACAACTAGGATGTATCTCCGAGCTAATTCGGGCCAAGTAAGTCCATTGATCTTGAGCATATCAAACTTTGTTTTCTTTGAATTAACTGAGTTGTCTGCATCTTTCTTTTTACCTCGTCTCGACTTACATTCTCCCACATCAAAGTTGGGGTCTATATATCCCGCAACTTTCAAAAGGAGTTCACTAATTAACACTTTCAGCAGTGAGCTATGGGCCTTTCTCAATGCTGCACCAGTACACAAGGTGACATCCCCACCATTTTGGAAATCATTTTCAGCTTCTTTTAGTGGATTTTTTGTGTCTAACCAAGGATTCATAAGTTCATTTTCAAGTTCCTGGAATGAAAAAGGTTCCTCCAAGCCTAAAACCTTTGAGAAACGCCATAGAAACTCCCAAACCTAAACATGAGCAAAATGATGAGAATATGCTACTCAGAGATAAGCTCTCTGTTTGGTTGAGTTTTCATAACTTATTTTTTGATTTTTGATTTTTTTGATTTTTTGATTTTTTTTGAAAATCTAGTTTAACAAAAGATAAACACTAAAACAAGATATTTTGAATTTTCAAAAATTATTTCTGCCCAAAAAAAGAGAATTATTTGAAAATAATGAATGTTTTTAATTTTTTTTTATCAAATTATTTTAATTAAAAAAAAAAAAAAAAAACTGAAATCTCAGCCAAACAGAGCCTTCCATTTCATCACTCAAAACAAAAGTTTATCAAGATACCTGAAGAACGTCACCGATCAAATGTGCAGGAAGCTTTGAACTCAATGGCTTGCCTAAAGGAAAAGATTTCTTCGTGCCCAAGTTTTCAACTAACTGCTTCCGAGGTCTTTTAAAGCTTAGGAAAGAACCATCTGCTCCTTTCCTACTCTTCCTTTTAGACAGAAAAAACCCACTTCCAACTGTTTGCAAACCTAAGTTCTGATTTCTTTTGTTCAGAAATCTGTACTCTGAACAGGCATGAACCCCGGGAAGTTGTTCTAAGATTTCTTGTACAAATTCCACATCTAATCCAAATCTGTCCTGTTGTAACCATTTCATCAGCACTTCACTATAAGTGTCAACCTCATTATTGCTCTGAATTAAATGCGGAATGTTAGTAGGGCCAAACGAATAACAAAACTTGGATAATGAATCAGCATTGTCTGCTGCTTTAACATGATCTCCATTCACATCATGTTTACAACAAAACTGGATTGCACCTGTTTGCTTCAATACCTTATGGAAAGCATGCATTAGAGTTCGAGAGGCCATTTCCCAAACCATTGGTGATGACCTCCCTTCAACTAAAAATTCACCAATACAGTCACCCTGCCCTAAATCATCTGTTATAATGCTTAAAAATCTTTGGGTTGTCGAACTATATGCTTTTTGAAAATCAACATCTTCCAAATTTGGTGGGCTATCTTCTGTAAGCATCATCTGAATACTCAGATTCTCATCATCATCCATCCCAAAACTAGCTGAATCATCACTTCCAACTTTATCTTGCCAATAATACAAGTCAGATTTTTGCCTCAGGAGGACTGTCAAACCAATAGGAACAGGTTGTGTGGAGCACGGATATCTTCGAACCTTGAAGATGGGACCTGAATCACCACCATCTGAAACTTCACAAACAAAAATGGACCCACTAATCTTATCATGCCAGCAAGATCTGTAACCTACAGGCCAGATCTGACTACTGTTATGGTATGAGGGCCGTGGATCAACCTTGCCCACAGAAAGGACAAAAAAATCTTCAAATTGCAAAGGGAAGCCATCCTGGAAAAACAGAAAATATTTTAAAAGAAATTCAGACATAAATAGAAAATTCAATTAGTCCAAGTATTCAACCTGAATAACTTCCAACAATATGTAAAATAAAATGCATAAACACAAGACAGAGTAGATTATGCACACATTTACCTGAAATTGCTGAAATCCACAGCCACCATATTCCATGGAGTTGGCTTCCATATTGCTCCTGCTGCTCTCAAATTTGCCAGCCGGATTATTCTGACTATCTCTATAGTTATTGGCTCTTGAAAACCTCAAAAATTCCTTTCGTCTCCGGTTTAAATGCAATCCTTTCTGCAGTGAAGCAAACCCATCATTCCTGTCCTCCATTTCCAATGAAAGATAGTTTGACAATAATCCAAGATGCCCAGCAACATCAGACATTGACTCAAACCTATTGCCATCAGGAGCACAATAAACCGCAAAGGTTTTACATCTGTTTTTACAATAAATAAATTCCACACACCAATTGTCTCCTAACAAACCTTGTTTCTCACGTATATATTCTCTAAGAGTTTGAAGATACACCTCACTTTGACTCTGACGAAAAAAGTTTAGAGGTGTACAATGACTGGGCCAAAGCCCTCCTTTAGGCGTGGAGCTCAAACCTGCTTCCATTGACGTTCTATACAGTCTGTCCAGCACTATATCTTCAAAAACTGATTTAGGAATTTGTGTCAAACCACGAGATGCCTTTTGGAGATTAAATCTATTTTCCAGATATAACAAATTTGAAGTCGTCACTGGGGCATTGAGAGGGTGACCAACGAAAGGTATATCACGCATGGCATGCATTCTACAGACCAAAGACATTAACTGTTAACCGCTGTAATATAAGACTTTTAATTAGTTAACTCAAACCAATCAACATTTAACACTAGGAGAATTTACGATATCTGTTAAATTGATTAAAGTGTAGATTTTAAGGCTCCAAAAAATCAGCATTTTACTCATGGATTTTGTCCATTGCTCAAATGATGGGCTCTTATTTTTCTTGGGTCCAAGGGCCTACCAACCAGAGCGATGATTTCTGAGCTAAGAAAGCTGCATATACTTTGGTGGAGAAAAAGAGGAATTTTTATCCTCCTTTCTTATCTCTATTCAATTGCTCTTTTTTTACTTGACTTCTTGTTTGTCAGTATCTTTGTACATTTCAATAAAGTTTTTGTTTCTAAAAGAGCAGAGTAATTTTCTTGCCAAATGAACACCTAACCACTAGAAAAGCTGCTGCGCAAGCATGAAAATCATTTTACAAATCATACCAATGTAGAGTAGCTAATCCAATTCTGTCAATAGAAATTGAAGTACATGCAAATAGTCACAGGTTTTCGAATCAACCAGCAAAACAACTTCTAGAAAGAGCATCTCCAATCCTTCTTTTTTTTTTAATCAAATTTGCACTCCAACCCCATCAAATCAAGGGAGATACAAATTTTTCACCAAATCAAGGATGAACCAAATCCTTCACCAAATTCCCAACAGTCATATTTTTTACTCAAATTTGATGAAATTTTAAAAAGAATAAGAATTGCAAATGATTTTTCTTCCATAAAAAATGGTTAAAACAACTTTTCAGGACAAGTTAGGAAGTTTTCAAAAATATTTGACGATAAAAAGAAGAAAAAGTTATGATTGGAGTGTTCTATAACAGATCAAGCTTTTAACAAAATTACCACTCAAATTTGATGGGGAGAGAGAGAGAGATGCTCAACTTTGATGACAATGACAACAATTATAAATTTAACACAAACAAGTAAAAGTAAAAAATTGAATCCACCATTTCAAAAAAAAAAAAAACAAAACACCTGGATTTCAGTATATTTGAACCTTAAGTTATTAGAATTCAGGTCATATATAATTGACAGAATTTTTATGCCATTTTTTATCTTAAAAGAATTAAATTTAACCCCATTCAATGCAACAGTAGTCCAATTGAAAGCAATTAAACGAAAAACAAATAAATAAAATCATACTTGTCATCCTTTTGCTCTGGAACCCTAGCTGGAACTCTATGTCCAGAGCTCTCCAAATCCACAACAAACCCCTCTCCAAGTTCCTCTCGCGGCGGCGACGCATTCATGTCCAAAATCCCTGCTCTTCCACCATTGCTCATCAGACACTTGAAGCATTTTCTCTCTCTAGACTTTTGGTCATCCTTTATCCCCAAACACTTGACATGAAACCCTCGGCCGCAACCACCACACACCAAAATCTCTCCCTCGGCGTCGAGGGTTTCGCGAGGAGAGGGCAGGGGGGTCTCGTTGAGATCGATTTCGAAGGACCTGGGTCGGAAATTGGTACCGGCTTCGGGTAAATCTGCCAATTCCATTGTTAAAGGAAACAAACAAAGAAAGTTTCGATCTTTGAGATTGAAGACGATGAGGATTGTGAAGATCGACTGATTTGATTCCACTGCCGACTCTGAGAGTGTGCGAAGAGGTGAAACGTAGTGATCGAATCAAATCGAAAGTTGGAATCAAAAAAAGAAAAACACGTTTTTTTGTGTGTGGAAATTACGGGAAGCCGAGAGTCCCCAAAATTGTGAAAGGGAGTTTCCCCCGTACTCTGCGGAAATTACGGGAGTACCCTATCTGTTGATGAGAAGTCTTTCGGTGGTCCTCAGGTATACCCGTGTGGTGTGGCGTCTCAAGAATGTTGTAACTGCTTTGTGTTCGGCATGGCAAATGTTCGCAACTCACGTTTTTATATTCAAAAATTTATTTATAATGATATATTTAATTCTATATTATTAATTATGTAATAAATTAAAAATTAATATATATTATATTATATTATTATGAATATAATTGTAAATTTTTTTATAGAGTTTCAAACATTATCCGAAACTACAAATTTGTGGTCCAGTGACTTGTCAACTATTGTGTAAGGCTATGGGTTTGACTAAGTTTGCTCCTTAGTTCGAGTCTTGGCAGTTGTAATATCTCGTTGCCAGCAGCATACTTCCACCGTAAGCACGAATTAGTCAAGATGCGAATAAACTAGCTCCGACATCCAATGAGAAACCAAAAATAAAAGAATAATTACAAATACACCTTTTGAGGTTTGTTTAAAATCTAAATTGTTCTCTGTGATTTGAAAAATTACAAATACCTCGCTAAATGTGAAATTTCTAACTGTTTGCTTATATAATAATAAAATTATCTAAATTATTAATTGAAATAAAATTTTAACATTATTAAAACTATTAATTAACTTGATGATTTATTAATAAAAATACCTATTCGATATGAAATTAGAAACCTTAAAGAGCATAATATAATTTCTAGAATTAGATGAAGTAATTTATAATTTAAGTAAATCTCAAGGGTGTTTGTAATTTACCCACAAAAAACACAAAAAAATCTAAACCCCAAAAAAAGAGAGGAAATACTCCGAAAACAATAGTGGAATATAGGAGCTTGTATTTGGTGATTGGTGGGAATAGATTTGACTGTTATAATAATATAAATTCTAAATTTTTAATTTTTAATTTTTAATTTGTCTTCATTTTAAATTATTTATTTATTTTCATTAAATAAAATTGACATAAAAATTAATATTTTAATCATTAAACTTAAAAAAAATGATATTTTAAACATTATATATACACCTACATTATGGAAATAGGCTTATAGTTTTGATTGAAAACAATTCAAAAGTTATGATTTAAATTGATGAAATAAAAAATTCAGGATTTCTATTATTACAATGGTGAAATTCTGATTTTTTTATGAGATTACTCCTTTTTTTCTTTTTGCACAGAAAAATTTGACTCTTTTAAATTAAATCTCATTTCTCTCTCCCTCGATCTTCTCTCACTTCGACACCATCACAAAGCTCGCTCTCCGATGCGACCGGCAATTTGTCAGCCTAGATGATGACGCCCTGGTTCTTACCTTGCTCCGTTGCGTTAACCTTATGTGTCTCAAGCTTCGTGGTTGCCGCGAGCTCACCAACCTCGGCATGGCTGTTTTCGCCAAGAACTGCAAGGATTTGAAGAAGTTCTCATGTAGATCTTGCATGTTCGAAGTCAAATGAATGAACATAGTGCTCGATCACTGTTCCTCTCTTAAAGAGCTCTCCATCAAGCGCCTCCGTGGCATCAATGACGGCGGTGAACCTATTGGCCCCGGTGCCGCCATTTCATCTCTGAAAACCATATGCTTCAAGGAGTTCTACAATGGACAGTGTTTTAGACCGTTCATCGTTGGAGCGAAGAATCTGAAAACTCTGAAATTGTTGAGGTTCCAGAGAAAATTATATGTTCTAGAGATAACCCACTCCATGATCGGTCATCAATGGCACTCAAGCCACTACTACTAATCAGTCAAAAGATGAAGAGGATGGATGCGGGATGAGATGGCCATCCACTATATTTGGACCAACTTGTGATGGAATGGATGTAGTGACGATAGAATGTAAGCTGCTAGAACTCCAACTTAATGATTTGATTGTGTTCTACAACTTGGGCGCCTATTCAACATCTATAGGAGCCAAATTCAATGGCTTCGATATACAATCCAGTGAGTCTCTCTCTCTCTCTCTCTCTATATATATATATATTGGTTATTGTTATTGCTTATTTGGGTTATCGATTTGTGTATTGCACATTGTGATTGGGAAGGCAATCAAGAGAAAATCTATAAATTAGAATTCAGATAATTTCTCTAGCCTTCCCATAATTTATTTGGAAAGATTCCCTAAATGTATGTATATTGGTTGTTGTTGTTACTTATTTGGGTGTTCAATTTGTATATTGCACATCGTGATTGGGAAGACAGAGAAATTTTATGATTTGAACCCAAAGAAATTATTGCGAAAATCAGAGAAATTCTCTGAAAATCTAGCCTAGATAGCCTAGAAATCTACAGAAAATCTCTAGACTAGAATCCAAAGAATTTCTCTAGCCTTCCCAGAATTTCTCCGAAAATTTTTTTTCTGAATCAAATTTTCCTCTGAATCGATTTGAGGGACCTTAAACATTATGAAAAATATTAAATATCCTTTATATTATAAAATTTTAATACCAAAAACCCTAAAAAAAATTCCCTCTATTTAATTCTAAGTGCATAAAAAATATTTTAGCTTAGTCCACTAATTTAAACTGTCATTGAAGTCAATAAAAATCCACTTTAATAAATTACACTTCTAATCGCAAAATATGTGATATGTGTCATTTAGACTCACTTTAAAAGTAAACTTTAGTCTCCAAAATATATGATATGTGATTTTAATATCTAAAATTATACATGTATCATCGATTTTAACAATATCTGAATAATTAAAATCCAACAATGGTAGAGCACTGAACAAAAGCCCAATAACCCAACAAGAAATAGTCCAAACATGGGAAGAAAAAGCGAAACATGGGAAGAAATAGAACCATATACAACACTCTCGTAATAAATATCACAACAGATTTTAAACTTCTTTCTATACGAGTGGAACTCACAAGTAGAGAAACATAAAAGCGGTAGTTGCAATCCTCAAAGTTTGATTGCACATTCCCACACAGATAAGTCAATCTAATGGCCTGTTTCTTTAGGTAAAAAAAAGAAAAAGAAAAAGAAAAAGAATAGAAAGAGGTATTTTCCCACATGATAGCTACTAATGTACAATTTTCAAGTTGCTTAATAGCTTCACAACCCTTTGCTTCAGTATGGAAGTAGAGGATCGAATTACCAACACAAGGATTACAGACTTTTACACAATGAGAAAAACAGTAGGTCAACAGAAGGGCCATTCCAGATTTATGTGGATATTGTGAAACTGCTAGGGCGTCATATGACCCAAAACCACGCCACGATTGAACCAATTGCCAGGCCAACAACCAAGAGTAGAACCATCACGATCCCCGCAGTCTCGGCATGTAGCAGCTGGACGGTTTTGGGAGCCAAAATCATTAAGACACTAGTCAAGTACCCATTTGTGAGGCCCAAAAGACATGTCAGCAATGTCACCGGAACCTCTGTTCGGAAGATTTCAGGACCGTGCAAGCAACCCCAAAAGAGAGGGAGAAACAATAATCTTGCAAACGACGAACCAATTGCAACACTTGCATTCCCGAGGAGATAGAGAGCGGTTAGAGACTTCCCAACTAGATCAAACACGTTGTAGCTCGTGAGGAGGAGGATTGGGTACCAGTCTTTTAGCGTCTGGGAATGGACATCTTCGGTGATATAACCAGGAAATATTGACAAAGTTACGACGTATATGATGAGGATTCCAAACCCATACCATTTGATTCTACCGACGATATTGAACAAGGCTGATCTCCATAGTGCCCCGGTCAGGACACCGTTCTCTTCTTGCTCATTTTTAGCTTGAGTCTTCAAATCGTTGTAGTACTTAATAACTGGTAGCCTATGTGCCACATTGTAGAAAACAACACATATGATCATCACAACAATGCTGACAATGAAATAGAGAATTGCACTTTGTCTCAGGCCACTGGTGTCTTGGGGATATACAGCCTTGGTAAAAATCCTTAGAAATGAAACAAGGACACCTGCGTCAATGTGTAAAAGATTAAGCTGCTTTTGTTGGAAATTTCACTTGCAAAACTTGCATATGAGGGCAACAAAATAAAAAGGATTGAGCTTTTCATTTACATAAAAAATGTATAGACAATAAAGTGTAGTCCACCTTCTTAATGTGAACCCACAATGATGAAGTTGCTTCACTACTTTGCACCAAAATAGATTTGAACCTTCTCATTATGACCTACTATAATTAACTAACTTCACTGTTGTAACTCCACACAGTTCTTCCCCGTAATCACACAAACTCAGATACAAATAAGCACATGGTTAGATACGTAACATACAAACCAACACCAAAATGCAAACCAACACCAAAATGCATACATAAATTAAGGACTTGCATGAAAGGCTGCTTCTATTACTGAGCCCTTTAAGGCAGACTTGTATGTACTAGAATAAAAAGAAGTTCAATTTCAGTTGTGCCTTTCAGCATCAAACTAAAGATATTAAAGCATAACAAAAATTTTGTCCTTGGAGATAGATAATTGCACTTTGATTGCGTTATTGATATAAATAGAAAAGAAGAAAGTAAGGTAGACACAAAAAAAAAAATCGTTCTTTTTCTTTGACTTCACCCGATAAAAAATCCTGCCATTTTCAAAGGAGAATAGAAGAAATTTTAATTTCACACGGTATCTTAATTGGATTATATGTAATAATCAATAAATTCAATGTGTCAAATACTACCAACAATCTAATCTATTCTATAGATTAGATATTCAGACTTTGACCTGACGATCAATCAATACCAACATTATTCTTTATTAGTGTCGAATAGAAATTAAAATGGGATGTGGCCAAGTGGTAAGGCAACAGGTTTTGGTCCCATTATTTTAAGGTTTGAATCCGTCCATCCCAGAGCATATTCCATCCTAATTACGTTTTGAATGACTTTCTGTTCGAAGGTCTAATATTGAATAGAATGTGATTCTTCTTTTTGCTTCTTAACGATTTTTCCCTAAATCATTTTTTTTTTTTCACAAACTTGAACCGAATCAAGTTCAAATGAAATGACACATAACTGAATGTATTTGTAATCCAGGTAAGATAGGAACATAGAGCATAAGGATTTGAATTAAAAAATAATAAATAAATAAAATCAAGCGTGTCATTTCATTTGAACTTGATTATCTTACCCGATTCAAATCCAGGTAAGTTAGCTACTTCGAAAAACCTCTCACAATAGTTAGGATTCATTAAAAAATTGATAATCAATGCCTTTCCTCACAACCGGCACTAATATATTTTTAGCCTATTATTAGATCGGGTAATCATTAAAATTAAGAACAGAAACTTGTTGAATTTTCTTTTTCCCTAAAATTAATTAAAGAATCAGCAGTGGTGAATATATGATATTTTAATGTGTAAGTGGGATACCTAAGACAAATATGCCTTGATCTTAATCATGAAATTCATTGTATACAACGAAGTAAAGGGGTGCCAACTTACACAATGATACTACGTGTTTGGCTCCCTTCACCTTTCTAAATTAGAATAATAACTTGCCATGTCTGCAATTTGGTGAACTAATGTATACAACATCTAAAGAACTACAATAACACGACACATTTAATAGTTGACTACCAAGTAGTGTTTTACTGCAAAATTATTCCACTTCATTCAAATCCCTCACAAATAAGACCCCACTAACAAAATTGCCAATAGTAAGGAAACAAATAAAAATCTTACCAACAGACACAAACTAGGAAGCACGGATACAGATAGGGGATACGGATATGATACGGATACGGCGATACGACAAAATTTGAAAAACTAGGATACGGATACGGCGGGGATACGTTCGTAAAAAATATTATTTTAACAATTTTTAGTAATGCAGTATGCATAAAAATAAAACCTAAAGCAAAAGACAACTTGATAAAGAAGAAAGATTCCTATAAAACTAAGAGTCTTCAAGGTCAATAGCTTCAACATGTTCCCCTTCATCAGTGAATATCACAAGACCTTAGCTAAAGCCAAAAAACTATTCTTAAATAAAAATTTTAGCAAATATACTTTTTTAAGTCATCAATGATAGCCTAGGAAGCACGGATACGGATACGGATATGGTGATATGGGGATGTGGATATGGCAATACGTCAAAACTTGAAAACGTATGATACGGGTATAGCGGGGATACATTCGTAAAAATTTTTTTTTATAATTTTAATAATGTAATATGCATGAAAATAAAACTTAAAGTAAATTAATAAATAAAGAGAGGGATTCCTATTAACCTAAAAGTGCTCAAACATTCATAAAACATCCAAAACTAAAAGCAAAAGCAAAAGCAAATACAAATTAAACATCATCCTTACATGCCAACATCAAAAAAAGAAAGAGAGCGGAGAGAAGAAACGTGAGAGAGTGAGAAAACGAGAGAGAAGTGAGAGAGACAACAAGGATACATCAATTTGACAAATTCTATTACTTTAACTCTCACTATATTCCTCTTATCAAAGAACTAAACAAAATATTATAAGTAATATGTAACTTCGAGTATCCGATACTTCAAAATTAAGTATCCGATACTTCAAAATTAATAAAAAATTAATTAAGAAGTATCCGATACTTTTAAAAATATCCGATACGTATCCGCGAGTATCCGAGGAGTATCGGTATCCGATAAGTATCCGATACGGATACGTCACCCTTTTTGAAGTATCCGTGCTTCATAGGACACAAATAATGAAGTATTTGACGTAATGGGACTTTACTGGTTTTCTTTAAAGCTGTCTTCTTTGCATTATGTTTGTTCATCAAATTGTTAGTAAGAAAAGCTGTACTGTAACTAAATAAAGCCACCTGCCATTTTTGGTTAAATCATGACACAGTAGTAGATAACTAGGTAAAAAGGGATCAACTAATGCGGAATAAGTCTAGAAATATATAAATCGGTCACAGAAGCATACCCATAATGTATATGGAGGATAAGATTTTTCAAAATTAAACAAACCCTATAAGATCTTTTTTTCCCCATTTATGTGTATTTTGTGTTTGTAGCAAAAACTGCAAACTTAAAATCAACTAATGATAATCAAAAGCAATAGTGAACTCATGAAGAAATGGTAACAAAAAGCAAGGCCCTAATTTTTATAGATTTAAATTTTGTATGACATTTTGCAATAGTAAACAAACTAACAGCAAGAGCAAAGCAACTCAGATCACGCCTCATGAAAATTTGACATTTAAACCCGTACTCATACTCAATACTCAAACCGGAGTCAATGTGATATAGACTACAACCACAGTGATGTAGGAAGACTTGACCCCCCCCCCCCCCCCCCAAAAAAAAAAAACTGTTTTCCAATCCCAGAAAACACCCAATATCCAAAACAAGGTCAAGATCATTTTTCATGAAAAATTGACGTTTATTAATAATAATTAAAAAAAAACACCCTTTGTTTCCAATCCCAGAAAGGGTATGGCTTCAGTCCAGACTAGACCGTGATATTGGGCCCATAGGGGCTCACGGGTCCTATTTTGATAATCTAAACCGTTTAATTTGTAGAACTCGTCGAGTATTATATGCCTGAAAAAAATCACGTTGATCGAATATCGATAGTTATATGATCAAATCAGTTTCGTATTAACAAAATTAAACAGTGAACAAATTAATGGTTGACAAAAAAACTTTTTTTTGATCACACAGCTATCGATATCCGATCAACGTGATTTTTTTATAAACACATAGTACTCGACGAGTTCTATACACATTGAACGATTTAGATTATCAAATCGAGACCCGTGAGAACGGTTTAGATTATCAAAACGAGACCCGTGGTAGCCCTCACGAGCCCAACAGCACGGTCCAATCTGATCCGGCCCCAACAGCACGGTCCAATCTGATCCCGAACTGGATAGAAGCCATACCCTCCCAAGACCCAATAATCAAAATACTCTTGTTTCCAATTTCAGAATATACCCAATATCCAAAACAAGCTCAAGATCACACTTGATGAAAATTGGACATTTAGAAAACCCCAAAAAACAAAAACACTCTGGTTTCCAATCCCCAAAAATACCCAAAACCAAAAACACGTTACATTTTCGATTAGATCAGTACCTGAAGCAGCAGTGCCAGCAACAACAGCCTGCATATACCGATCAGGCAACTGACCAGCAGCCCCAATGATCCCACCCTGAACCAACGCATCGGCGATACCCGAAAGAGCCACCGCGGCCGTAGTCACATAGAACCCATCATAGATGCCAACCCGACCCTTAATGTAGACCACATCCATGATCGGAACAACGAGTAGAGAGACAACGAAGAGAGCAAGACCAACATTGATGCGAATGTAGGAATCGGATTTGTGGGCGTAGAAGACGATGAAGAGGAGGGAGATGACGCCGACGACCATGTAGGCGACGGAGAAGACGCGGTCGACGGAGGCGTCAGGGTAGAGGTAGGAGAAGTAATCGACGGCGGTGATGAAAGCGTTCCAGGGGAGGAGGTAGCCGGTGCCGAGGGTGAAGTAGATGAGGTAGGCTAAGTGGAATGAGTCTTTTGGGATTTTCTCGGCTTGGAGGAGAGAGATTGACTCTGAATCGCCGCCGTCTGTGGTGTTTGTGGTGGTGGCGGTGGCGGCGGCGGTGGTGTACCCCATCGGAGATCTTCTCTCTCTTCGGTGGGTCGTCGCCGGATATGAGTCCGATGTGGGTTAGGTTTGTTTGGGTTTGGAATTTTGTTTCAGGTCGCATGTGGAAACTGTGATGGAATTTGATATTGGGTTAATAACATATTACTCAATAAAAAAAAAAATATAATATCAAGATTAAAATATCAAATTATTTATGATAAAGTCTACTACTATATTATTAGTAGTAATACTAACTAGTGCTCCCACTCATTTTCCATTGAGTATACTCTTAGGAGCAAGGATCCCTCCCTAGCCACCCTACTTTAATTTCTTACTTGATGGGTTTTTGAGTTGATTTTTGGGTTTAATTTTGATAATTTAAATAGGTTATATTTTAAAATTTATCATATATATTATATTTGTAAAAAATTAAATCGATCGAATATCAAAAATTATATGAATTAAAAGTTTTATTAAACAATGAAACTATTTGTTAAATTTCTTTAATAAACGGTTTTTAATTCTTTCGATATTTGATCATTTTGATTTTTTACAGGTATGATGTACATGACAAATTCTAAAATATAAATGGTTCGAATCATCTAAATTAGACTAGGGGTGTAATTTTGGCTCATGGCCCACCGGCGACCTGAGGTGGGCCCGGCCTGTTTAGGCCCGAGCCCAAGCCTAGTCCGAGGCCTTGGGCCAGGGCCTGGGCCATTGTTTTGAAGCCTGGCCTGGCCTGTGGGCCCAGCCCGCTTGGCCCGCTAAAGGCCCGTCCAAAAGCCCGGCCCACCTGATGCCTAGTGTTATTTTTAATGAAAAATAATAAAATTTTGGTGAAAAAAATAAAAAAATTTGTTTAGGCTCGTCCAAAGCCCGAGCCCAGGCCCAAGCCCAAGGGCCTGGCCCGATGCCCGGCCCATTGGCCCCCCCAAACTCGAATATCTCTGGGCCTAGTTTTTTGGCCCGTGGGCCAGTCCGGCCCGACCTGATTTTTTTGGCGGGAGCCCACAAAGCCCAACATGGGATAGGCCAGGCCGGGCTGGGTTAAAATTACACCCTTTAATTAGACCAAAAAATGAACTCAAAAAGCCCAACATGGGATAGGCCAGGCCGGGCTGGGTTAAAATTACACCCTTTAATTAGACCAAAAAATGAACTCAATGACCCATCAAGTAGGGAGTCAAATAGGAAAGTCAAGGAAGAGATCCTTGCTTCTTGGTTCCAAAATATTACTTTTATATTTTATTTTTTATTATTTTAAAATATTAGTTTTTTTTTCAAAAATTAAGAAATAAATAATATAAATTTATTATTTTACTCTTTTTAAAATTTATTAATAACACAAAAAATACAATTATAATAATTAATATTTTTAAAAAATTACTATTAAAGGATAATTTTAAAAAATTAATATTTTAAAATATAATAATTGTACTATTAAAAAAGTTAGGTTCTTAAAAAGAATCATTACTTTAGAACTGAGAGAGTTTTTGTTTGATATTTTATTTATTTATTTTTTTGCCTTCAAATTTGTTTTAAAAATTAATTTATATTTAAAATTAGATAAAAATTGATATTAAAAATCACACGATCGTCAAAATTACACAAAAGGCAAAATATAAGGACTACTGGTTTAATTTTCCCTAATAAAAATATTTTTATAGCTATCTATCTATATTATTATATATGTGAACACTTTAGGGCCTGTTTGGTAACATTTACGTTTTCGGTTTATATTTACTTTAATTTCATAACAAATAAGTCATTTTATTAATAAATTATTAAGTTAATTAATAGTTTTTAATAATATTAAAATTTTATTTTAATTAATAATTTATATAATTTTATTATTGTATAAGTAAGCAGTTAGAAATTTTACTTTTTTAATTAATTATGTTAAATAAAAAATTTTAACATAAAAATATTTGTAATTTTTTAAATCACAAAAAATAATTTATATTTTAAACAAATATCAACGATGTATTTATAATTTATCCTCATAATAATTAAAGTCAAGAAATGGCATTTTTTTTGTTAGTTGGAAGACTCTTTATGGTGGGACCACCGGTAAAATAAAGCAAGATTCGGATGTTACGACATTGTCTTTCGCTTTTGACCATGAGGGAGTTATAGGCCTTGTTTGGTTTGTGTTTCTCAAAAATTTTTGAAAAAAATTCTCCACAAATAAATTTTTAAAAGTAATTAAACTAAATAAATTTTTCTAAATTTTTTTTTCAAAACTTGTTTGGTTTACAAGTTTTCCAAACAAGTCTCTCTCTCATACACATCAAATCAATCACTTTTTTCAAAATTCTCTCTCAAAATAATTTTCCAAAACATCTTTTGAAAAAAACCAAAGCAAACAACTTTTCGTACTTTTTATCTCTAAAACCCATCTCCCAAACTCAAACCAAACATACCCATAAACTTCCAGGGGTCATTGCTTCTGTATAACTCCTAGATATATTTTACTAAAAATTGTGTATTTGAAGTAGAGATGGTAATTTAAACCCGGTTTGACGGGGATTCGATCCTCCGATCTCAATTAGAACGGGTTTTCTTCGAAAATTATCTCCATAGGGTAGGGGATGGTATTAAAAATTAAATCCCCAACAGTTTTCAGGTCGAGGATGATGATAGGTATCCCGGCCCCGGCCCCGAATTATCACTGAACAATTTCCTAAATATTCCCCCACATATATATAATATATGTTTGTCTGTCTTCACTCTCATTCATTAATCTCTCAGCCTCTCTCTCTCTGTGCTTGCGTAGCAACCACTTACGGCGTTGGCAGCGACCTCCCTCCTCCCATCACCGCCGATCTCCCTCCTCTTTCGCTGTCCTGTCTTCGGCAAGAAAGTCTTAGGGTTTTTGATCTCTCTCTCTCTCTCTCTCTCCCTCCCTCCCTCTCCATCACTGCCGATCACGTCCCTCCATCGTTAGTGTGTTGTTGTTGATGATGATGATGATGAAGTTGATAGGCTCAGATCTGATATATGCTCAAATCTGTGTTGAAGTTGATAGGCCAGATCTATATAGGTATGTTAAATATTTCTGGTATTTGAATATATTAGGGTGAGTGTGTTGAATAGATCTGTATGGTGTATTGAATATACCTAGGTGTGTTGAATATATCTGTATGGTATAGGCTTAGATCTGAGATTTGATAATGATATTGTTCAATCTAGTATAATATGCTCAGATCTTCTATTGTTTTGTTTTGTTTTTTTTTTTGTTTTTTTTTTTTCATTTTGGTCGGGGAATTTTCGGGGCCGAGGAAACCCGATCCCTGTTAGGGGATGGGGACGAGGTGGTGATAGGCTCCCCGTCGAGGATTGGGACGGGGGACGGGGACATTTCTACCATCGGGGATCGAGGACGAGGAGTGTAATCCCCGGCCCCACCCCGACCCGTTGTCATTCTTAATTTAAAGAGCATTAATACTACAAATTCATATTTAATTATTTAAAAATTATTTAAATTTATTATTTTATAATTTAGATTTATTTTATGTATAAATTTAACCTCCCCTACTCAAAAATATCTAAATGGATAAGTTTGAATTTCAGACTTATTGTTTAAGGAGATTGGATTTACTTTTCTTGTAAGTTGTTGATTCATTAATTTTAATATAAATTACAAATACACTTCTTAAAATTTGATTAAAATATGAATCGTCTCTTGTAATTTTAGAAATTACATTTGTAAACATAAATTTCAGAACATAAACCTTACACTTTGGATCATTTACCATGTGTATTATCAAGAAATCAAGACAAAATGACATACCTGAATCCATTGATGAACGGTTAAACGGAAGCGTGATTATCAATGAACTATTTGTTATTGATTATGTTATTGCCTTCTAATCCTTTCCCCTTTGGTGCCTTATGTTTTTCCTTGAGAGGATTTAGAAAACAAACCTTTTTTTCACTTGGGAAGGAATAGGGACCATAACCTTTTAAAGGTTGTAATTGGTTTTCAAAACTGAAAAGTTGTGGAAGTTTAAAAGGAATGAAAACCAACTTTAACCAATATGTTTTAATTTCTATTTTTGCCCCTCATAGAAATAGAAATTATACAACTAGTATCTACACATTAGGTCCATAACACATATACCCTTAAGCCTATTAACTAAATTGAATCACTTAAATTGTAGGCTTCTTATAAATGATAACACCACATTTAATTATGTGGTCCCATTGAGACATTATCTAACAACATTTCCCCATGAGGTTTCTAATTTCATAACAAATCGCCATTTTCATTAATAAATTATCAAGTCAATTAACAGCTTTTAATGATGTTAGAAATACGTTTCAGTTAATAATTTAAGTAATTTTATTATTGTAGAGGAGAGCAATTATGAATTTCATTTTTTTAGTTAATTCTGATAAATAAAAAATACTAACAAGGAAGTATTTGTAATTTTTCAAATTACGGGGGACAATCTGTATTTGAAACAAGTCTCAGGGGGTGTATTTGTAATTTATCCTTAATTTTAACTTCTTTTGATTCATTATTTTAGATAAAAAATTAAATTGATTTAATATCAATTGTTATACTATTTAATTATTTTTATGTGTACAATATATAAATATATATTAAAATAAGCTGTTCATTTATTATAACATCTATCTATATAATAAGGGAAGAGGGTTTTTGAATTTATCCTGGAGACATTTGTCCTATTATGACATTTTAACGGTTATGATTCATTTCTGTATTTAGATGAATAGCTGAGATGAATGATAGTTCTCGCCCAACTATTTCATACTGTAAAGAGTCGCACCTACCTACGTCTCCCTCTCTTCCCACATTTGAACCCCTCACATTCCCTGTGTATCTCTCTCACTCTTACTCTCTGTTCTTCTTCCTACGTCTGCATCTGTCCACCTTCCCTCTCTATCTCTCTCACTCTCGGTTCTTCTTCTTCTTCAACAGAATGAAGAACTCCATTTTTGTCTCTGTCCGGCTATTCTGCGTCACACTCAAAGTTAGATTTTTTGTTCATTAGCAATCAAATATGTTCCCCTTTTGTCTCTATCGGGCTATATTCTAAGAGTGTTTTCAAAGTCTGCTCTCTACTCTCGGCTCGCAAGGTAAGATGCTTGCTCCGCTTCTCTTTATG